ATATATAAAATACATCCATCTCTCTCCTATCCATCTCCCTCGCTCTCTTTCTTTTCTCTCTCTCTCTCTTATATATATATATATATATATATATATATAAAATTTCAAAGCAATGTATGTATGTGTCTAAACATCATTTACAATTGAAAAGAAATCCTATGTGATTGCTTTAAAACTATATATATATATATATATATATATATATATATATATATGTATGTATATATATATATATATATATATATATATATATATATATATATAGATAGATAGATAGATAGATAGATAGATATATTTACTCCGATGTTGTATATTTTATATAAAAAATAACCTTATTTAAAACAATATATATATATGTGTGTGTATTAATGTATGTAAGCATTCCTACAATTGAACAGATAGTTCTGCTCGATTGTATAATATATATATATATATATATATATATATATATATATATATATATATATATATATATTATACCGTAAAAAAGTAATTTATACAAAAGAGTTTAGTAACAATTTTAATGTGATTAATGGCGAAATCACTTCGCTAATTAGAGTTAATGAGACATTAACTTACTATCAATTCCTAGAATCACGCTATCCTTATACTTAAATTCTTGACTGATCGAATTAATCGTCCTCGGCCGAGTACTTTTGACAATTTCAAATTGTCATCTTCACTGCGTAATATTTCCATTTACCTGTAAGCTTCGGTGATCGTGTGAGTACTGGTGTTTCAACGTGATACAGCACTAAGTCCGGATGTCTAGACGGACTGAGGGAATCAATGAGTAAACTACGTAACGAATCTGTGGAAATGGATGTCAGAACATGGAGAGAAAAAAAGGAAAACACTGCTCAGAGCTAATAAAAAAAAGGTAAGAAAACTATGGAGAAACATTATCTCCCACGTCGCGAAGATATACGGGAAACTGAAGAAGTAGCTTTGGTCATTCGGACAGATTTTCGAAAATGTGGGCGGGGAGAGAATCTTTTCCGAACCCCCATGTATATAAACGCGTATGTATATGTATAAAGGTCTGTGTGTCATACAGGCTGGTGATCATGTTTATATGGGCTTGTCTCTGTCAGAGTGTATGCGTATTTGGTGAGAATGTGTAGCTGTTGCGTGTGTCCGGTGTTGCGAGCCGGTCTAAATAAATTTGAACTGGACGCCCCAACCAAGAAACAAGCGAAGCCTTTGTTTGCTCATGGGAAGCCATGTCATCAGTAGGTCATGACCAAGGTTTATATAAACACAATAAAATATGTCGACTACCCAAGGCAACGTAACTACACACACACACACACACACAATAAGCCAGCACATAAAACTATCTATCTATCTATCTATCTATATATCTATATATATATATATATATATATATATATATATATATATATGTATGTATGTATGTATGCATGTAGTCCAGTTATTGTTCGGACTACTAAACTAATTTGTTGGTTCATTTGCTATCATATAGTTTCGACCAATCTATTCTATGGCCTTCGTCAGGTGTATGATCCCGTTTGAATCTTCTTCTATGTGATGTTGTGTAGTGAATATCCTGTCGGAATGGGAAATCTAAGAACACTAGTCGTGTTCTTTTCCTTCATTTACGGGTTTATACACTTTGGAAAGATATGAATCCATCTCTTCTCCACCAGATATGAGTTAAACAGTAGAAATTGTATGTGGAAAATCATTGTTATTCCCAGAAAATTGCTAATGCTAAAAATTCTCTCGTAAAATAATATATTCTTAAAATCCAAAATATGTTTCGGATTTATAGCACTGTCGATTGATAAGCCGTAAAATATGTTATCAGTTAATCGGGGGCGTGGACTATCATGGCTCTATGCAATTTTATAATCCTTATAGTTTAAAGCAACATTTCTCTCCTCTTCTTTCTATCCATCCATGGTTCCTGTCTTGTCATCCATTTAGATTATTCTAATGAACCAGGTACTACCAACCTAGGTTTCACCACGATGAGATCATCAGGAATTAACGAGGAACAAATTTATTGACAAAATTACCCCAAAAAACTTAAATTAGGATAATAATGTTTTTTTTTCATTTCTTTTTTTTACTCACGTCTTTGATGTCTTTTTAGGCTTATGCTAATTTTATATTTTAGCCGTAATTTTATCAATAAATTTGTTCTTCGTTAATGAAACAGCCTGTCGCCTCTGAGTGTAGATTTCAATGTTCATGTTTATATATATATATATATATATATATATATATATGTATGTATGTGTGTGTGTGTGTGTGTGTGTGTGTGTGTGTGTGTGTGTGTGTGTGTGTACATATATATATATCATTTGAACAATAAAATATATTGAAAAATTAAAATCTTCAGACACACCGGGTTGTATTTTAATATTCTTTCGTTTTTATTATTATTTCATTTAGATTCCTCGACTAGTTTCGGCCAACATGGCCATCATCAGGAGAAGAAATATTTCTGCTTGCTGGTAGCAGTAAACTACAGAAATGAATGTCTTGATGGAGAAAATGAACTTTTGTCTGTAGTTTTCATGTTTCTTTTATTTTTTTAAAATGAATTTTGGTCAGTCTTTGTGTTGTCAAACAGTCTCTTTTAAGTTGTTATTTAAGATGAGAGCTGGATGATTCATGCTGCTCTGAATTCCCTTGGTCATTTTGACAGTTTTATTGGTTCTTAGAAAGGGGATATGTCTGTTAAGTGTGTGTGTGTTGTTTGGTTTTTAGGATGTGAGTGACTATGTGTGTAAGCGTGTATAATACTATGGGTGTATGTTATCATTTGGCTCATTAGGGAGTGAGTGAGTATTATGTGTGTAAGTGTGTATATTCGTGTGCGTGTGTGTATAAGTGTGAGGCCTCAACACCTCAGTAATCATGTCTGTCTTGTGTGGGTGAGAAATGTTGGTAGGCCCTGATTTGTGGGGTTATATACTAATACGACCTATGTTGTTAAATGTGTGTTTTTAAACTTTGTATCCATATCAATTGTATATATATATTTAAAAATATATATACATATGTATATATATATATATATATATATATATATATATATATATATATATATATATATATATATAATAATATTTTGCAGCACACTAGTTTGCATTGCCACGGCGGTTGAGACACTAATCGCTGTAGAGGGTTAGTGAATGAGCTGCAGGATATGAATGAAAGAGGAGGTGGTACGAAGTCAAGACTTTTAGAGTAAAGGGGTGATTTGTAACAATTAAGATTTGAATGTGTAAGGTTCCTTTTTTACTTGCTTATCTTGGAAAGGATTATTTCTGTGTCTGCTGTCAATAAAGTGGTACTTGGTCTTTTGTTTTGTTAAGATTATGTGCACAAAGTATAAATCCTGGTAGGACTTCTAGTTCTGTTAGGATGACCTTAGGTATTCTTGTTTTACGCTCTTTTCTACTTTTGTCTACTTGTTCAATTCCTTTTCTCTTCCAAAACAGTGTGATTGTTCCCAATAGATATTCTGGATTATTCTAATAACTTTCCTGTATAAATCAAGATTAATCTACTCAAGTCTTCCTGTATATCTTCAGAGTAGTATATTTAATTCATTATTTCCTTAATCTTGCCGATTCTGAAATTTTCTGAGATTGATAGCATTTCGATTACAATTACATCTTTTGCTTTTTTTGTTCCTGACCATCTTGGCCAGTGCCAATCTTACCTCAAAATTTACCATTAACTTATCTCATCCACAAATAGCTAATCGGAAATCAGTATAATAATGTATACAAAAAAATTGGAGTGGCGCTCGAGTCTTATATTGCTGAATTTTATTTTTGTCAGCCATTAAACAAATTTAATGGCTGACAAAATATTGACTAACTCACCAGTTTCATGACAAATCCAGTCATTCGTGAATTATCCAAAATTGGCATTGCAATCAAGAGTAAATCAACAGCTTTCAAGATAAGTTCCTTTCACGAGAATATGATTTAAACATGACATTTGTAACATCCGCAAAGCCCATGGGTTAAGATAACAGGAAGCCGCCTATCGTTTCCAAAGATGTCCCTAATCAGACTCGGCTTTAAAGTGTTATGAATTAAGGTTTTAACATACTTATTCTGTTATTCGCTTACCCCGAAGCCATTGAAATCTTCACCACACTCGAATCTCGAAACAGAATTGGCGCAGTCGTGTCTCATTTCTGGATCCACACGGGCTAAAATTGCCTCAGCTTTGGCCGCTTTAAATACAAACATCATAACAGTGACTTCCTGTGTTATCGATCAATGTCGGCCATGTTGATCTGTAAACAATGTATGATGAGTGAAATCGGCGCCAATTAGTTTCTACAACTTGGATATTGTCTTCCAAATTATTTAGTTAGCTGTGACAATGGCAGATTCTTCAAATTGGGCGGTCGTTTGTGTTCATCCTACTAAGAGAAGCCCGAGATATTTCTAAAGACATATATTTACATATACATATATGTATTCCTTAGTAAGGTTTCTCAATTTAGGCCGGTTGTTTTTAAATTCACTGTTTAATAACTTTGAAAAACAGCAGGGATAGCAAATCGAATACGTGAGGTCACTAGAATAACGTTTGTAGCGATATATATATATATATATATATATATATATATATATATATATATATATATATATATATAATTATTTATTTAAAAATATGATTCCATCGCTACATAGGAGTTCTCATGTTTCAAAACAAAGAGCCGAAAACCTCTATATAATTATTTGAATTAAATTGAAATAAAAATATCAATCTCTGTTCCATCGTGAAGCGAATTTTTTTTTTTGAATAACTAATTCTTGAAATTTACGCGTTTTATAAGCATATTCATATTTAAATTAAAATTACTATGGTGACGGCTAGAGCAATTATTTAAAAAAAGGGGCGTATATATATATATATATATATATGCATTTCTATAATCATTATACATAATTACTGGGCCACTTGACGAGTAGACCGAACGATTATAAAGCACATTCAAGCTTACATCACCTGGTATACACAAGCGATCATTCATCTAGGTACTGACAAGGCTCGACGTTGCTTAACTTTTGTGATCGCACGAGAACGGGTGTTCAACCTTATATGACCATAAGCCCTTTATACCAAACGCAAATTCGATATGTCATCCATTACACCGCCCGCATATATATACTTACTGCACTGAGTATTCCTAAGCGGTCACCCATCTAAATACTGTCCACGCTCGACGTTGCTTAACTTCTGTGATCGTACGAATACCGGCATTTCAACGTGATGTGGCTGTAAGCCCGGATTCCTAAACGGACTGAGGGCAACAATCAGTAACTTAGATAACGAATATTTGTAAATGGATGTCAGAACAGGGAGAAAAAAAGAAGACATTGCTAAGAGGTAAAAGAGTTAGGAAGCTGTGGAGAGACACTATCATCCACGTCACGAAGATATACTGGAAATTAAATCCTTTACAATTCGAGATTCGTAACATCAATATTTTTACTGCTCGGCTTGGATTCATGTATATTGCAATACAATGAAGGACATAGCTCTTAAAACTTTATATCAGTTTTTCCCTTACTGAGAGTGAGAGGTATTTGACTGAATTCACATACCTGGGGGTATGTTTGGGTGCACCAATACTCGCATTTCTTTCTAGAGTTATCCTTCTCTTAAGCTGGTTATCAACCAAGGCTAGAATGTTCAGTATCATGTTATTTAACCTGTATATAGTGGGAGAAATGGATTCATGCCTTTCCAAGAGAATCAGTGTAAAGCGAATACAAAGCGAATGCTATCTCAGTCTGAATTTGAAATCCGTTCACTGATTTCACTCTCCGGGCTTTTAAACGTTACACCATCCACACCTCCTTCCCGCCATTTAAGAATGACGATTAATTCGGTGAGTTTCGTCTATTCATCCTTTTCTCCATCTGTTTTCTTTGTTATTCTAACTTGCAGCCGCAGGCGACATCCCTCGGGTCATGAAATCAGAGAGAGAGAGAGAGAGAGAGAGGGAGAGAGAGAGGGAGAGGAAGGTCTCCAATTGCTAGAACATTACTGTCTTCTCCCTCTCTTTCACTCTCTCTCTCTCTCATACAGGCACATACAGGCACACAATTTATTTGAAGTATTTTCTATTCTATGAGGTCTGAATTGATAAGTAATGTTTCCAACCGCGTAACTTCGCTAATAGTGGATATATAAGATATATAAGGATATATTCACTCTTGGGCAAATTAATGGAAACAACCACTTTAGTTTTCTTTCTTTCACCATACAGTCAGTTTTAGACCCACTGGAGTGACAGGGTGTAATCGATTTCTATTTTTCCTCAGATTAGGTCATTTGCAGTGGTGTGCAGTAATATGAATCTATTTTCGGGGTGTATGATGAAATTTGTTTGGCCTTGAAAAATATTGCGTCATTCGTGATTGAATTAGATTTTCGTCACGGCCAGACAATATTGTCTCGATTGTCGATTAGTTGTCTTACGGCCATTGTCTGTGATGGGCGTTACTCCAAGGAAGCGTACTAAAATTGTAACGCAGCACGAACACACTGGCATGCCTTACTAGTCAGCAAATCAAAGTATTATTGACTGTCCCGGAAACTCTCTTGATTTAAATCCAATCGAGAATCTGTGGTCAATCTGCCAGGACTTCATGGAATGGACATACGTCATGTCCACTGGGTCATGTTTCATTGGAAAAATACGAAAAAAATGAATAATAACGGAATTATTCGTTTTGTTTCAATTAATTTGCACAAGGGTGTAGGTGATTGTGGTCCTCCACATCTTCCTGTATAATTAATTTGAACAAGGGTACAAGAATGTCTGAAGATTTATTAAGTAGTACTCTTGTGACAAACACAGGTGACCTCTGGGATAGACATACCGGTGGAAATTTTTCAATTTATAATTGTGAAATTATATTTATTCTCGGAAATAAAGAATCATGCTGTGGAATAAAAAAATGCTAATCGTACCATGGAAAACAATCACTTGAGACACCTGTACCTTGTGTAATGGTTTGCAAGCTTGTCTCGCTAAATTAATTACGACTGAAGAGTGAGTTCGGGTACCCATACATTCGGCCTTGTGTCATACCTAAGGTACGCTGAAAATTCCCTTTCAACAATCGCACACCACATTCCTATACATCTTGCATAACTTTTCTTTCAAATAATGTTCTGTCTATAATGCTTGTTGGAAATTTTCCAAATCTATAGAAGAAACGTTAAAACAACACTGGTCAACATTTTTTCGACCCAAATGTTTTTGTGGAATTGGCACATGTTTCTGGGCTATTTTTTACGCTGAATCTGAAAATCAAGTGAATTTTCCCTCATCACATCACGTTTTCTCAGTAAAGATAATTTCTATTTTCCTTAAAATAGGCAAAAATAGCCATTTGACAGTGATATGCCAGGGCCAAGTACAGCTGACCTTAAATTTTTTCAGGTTAGAATAAAAGAAAAAGTATCCCAATAACTTAAAGAATATATTTTCAGTATTTCCACTTCAGAAAAAGTTTTCAGGAAAATCTCACACAAAATTAAATTAAGGCAAACCTGTATCAATGAATTTTGAATCAAAACAAAGATACAAAGGAATGAAAAATACTTACATTTTTGTCCATCCAAATTTATAAATCTTCTCTTCTTGAAAATTCTACGGTGCTTTTGAAAAGGTTGATGTCTTTGATGCTCCAGTAGAAATCAGCCATCATGATAACATCCCATCTGTCAAGTATCTAGTTGGCTCTGCCTCTCTGGTGTTTGGCAACTATTTTAAACGCTGATAAAGAAAATTCTAATTTTGATAGACTCAAATACACTCGCCTAATAATCCTCATTTATCGATGCTCTTATGCCAGACCCCCGTAAATACCAGACCTCCGTAAATTCAAATGATACGATAAAATCTTATGACGGTTTCAGACTTAAAGTGAAAACTGCTAATAAAGACTAAAATCGCTGTTCTTGAATGACTTCTAAAGAGCTTCCATGAAAAACAGCTGAGAAAAACAGTTTTAACATTGATGGCACAAGAACATTTTCCAGTGAGATATCTCTCATAAAATCAAACATTTTCAGGTCAGCTTATCTGAACTGAAATATCTTAGAATTCATTTTGAAAGTTATTTAGATAGTTTTTCTTGAATGATAAATCATTTTAACATGAAACAAAATGTTTCAACTATGTCACTCGCATATTTAAAGCATGGCATATCTCTGTGAATTAGGCATTTTGACCTATTTTAAGCAAAACAGAAATTATCTGTACTGAGAAAACGTGATGTAATGAGGCAAAATATATTTGAATTCAGATGTGATTCAGTGTGAAAACATAGCCCAGAAACATGTGCTCATTGCCCCAAAAGATTTGGGTTGAAAAAATGACAACCGGTGAAATTGGAACCAAACAATCGGGATCGTTTTCCTCTGTTCTCATTCTCTTTTCTACCATCTGGTGGCGGAGATGGCTGTGAAGATCCCAGCCTATACCTGAAGACCACTCGCCTGAATATGATTTTGGTGGATAACTCGGCGCGACGGAGAAGCCCACACATGTGACCAGAAGCGCCTCCCTCGCGACTCAAAACGTGGTTGTATCGGACTGCTGGATGCTTGGTCTGTCAAGGTCCGCTTCGGTCTCCCCACCCCAACTGGCACTGCCTCACCCACTGGTTTGGTCTTTGAGATCTTTGCCTGTTCCGCTGTTGGGAGTCTTCGAGGATTGGTCGCATTAAGTCTGGTCGCTTCCCGCTCGAACTTACCACAATGGGGGACCAAACAGGAATTGAAACATCAGATGGTTTCGGTTCTGGATTCATTGGTTCACGCAAGCTTTTTATCAAGACAAGGAACAACTATATATATTTTAGACTGGGTGATGCGATGTTCACTATCAAATGAATCATATAATAACAATATAGAAACAATATAGAAACGAATCTATAAATCTGAAAAAATATAAATATATCTTTAAAGAAATGGAAATATTTATTATTATTATTGTTGCTAAAAATATTTGAAAAATGAAATTCACTACTGCACAAATATTTAAAAAATAATACCGCAGAGAAAATTATTTGAAACTATATATATATATATATATATATATATATATATATATATATATATATATATATATACAAGTGAACATTGAAATCAGCATTCAGAGGCGACAGGCTGTTTCATGAAAGGACGCAAAATCATGAAAGGAAGCGAATTCGTCCAGCATAAACGATTGCGTTTTAAAACATATAAATGTTTAAATTTTATGTTATATATATATATATATATATATATATATATATAAGTGAAGATTGAAATCAACACTCAGAGGAGACAGGCTGTTTCATGCTGGACGCAATCGTCAGGCCCCGAATTATGGATTTTTCATTGTCTATTTATATATATAGGTCAGTGGTGGATTGGGGTAATCTATTCTGGTGGTTATTTTTGAAGGATTGGCTTGTTTATTAGTTTGAGTTGATTTATTTTACTTGTTTTTCATTTTCCTTTTGTATTATTTATTCTTTTCAGTTTTAAGGAAGATAATTAAATAGCTTTAATTATCTTCCTTAAATGTATGGAGGACGATAGAATAATGGATAGCGGCTTGGATTGAGGAATCGCTGAGCCGAGTTCGAATTCCAGTCGAATCCATTACATTCACTTACGTGCTAATACCCTTGAGAAAGGTATGAATCCTCTTACTCTCCCTCCAGCTATGGATAAAATAGCAGGACAGACAGGGTTCTATAGCCTTGGATGGCAACTGGTCTAGGAGATGGACAACTCTGAATTCAAAACCTGCGGAGGGTCGTTTGGGAACCTTGTGCATTCGGTGCACCAGGTCTCTGTATTCGGCCCTTCAAAAAGTGTGGATGGTCCTGCACGAAGCCTTCACCACTATAATCAAATCTCATGTATCGTTGTCGGGCTGTCGGTTTCCTGGAAACTGATCTGCTTGACCCTCATACGTCGAAATCGACGGGAGAGTCGACTATATATATATATATATATATATATATATATATATATATATATATATATATTTAAAAGCAATGTACGTATGTGTCTAAACATTAAAATGAAAAAGAAATCCTATGTGATTGCTTTAAATATATATATATATATATATATATATATATATATATATATATATATATATGTACTTGATGATATGTATATTTTATATAAAATAACCATATTTAAAACAATATAAACAATATATATGTGTGTGTGTATTAATGTATATAAGCATTCCTACAATTGG